CTCAACCAAAAATGAAGTTGATTTTAACAAATTCTACAAGCTCAGTACTTGAATGAGTTAATATTATCTTTGTATTTGTAAAATACTTTTAGCTATTTTTATCCCAGGAGTAGGAAAAAGATTCTAGGGTAAAAGTTGCCAAATGCTTACATGGTGTGAATGGCAGCACCAACTGCAGTCATATCTTGCTCTTCTTGGACATTGGTCAATGTGACAAGTTGAGCAGTGGCAGCATTCATGGCTGACAATTGGGCAGACACTTTCTGCTTGGACAAATCAAACTCATTTTCAGCCCACTTCTTGGAAGCCTAAAGAAAAAAGAAAAAAGTAAATTAAATAATATATATATATATATATATATATATATATATAAGAATAACCAGGTGTTTTATTTATTACATAAAACATGAACAATCATTAATATTTATAGTGTTATAATATCTAGGTATATGAGTGTAGATAAAATAATAAAGTGGAATTTTCACAAAATTTTCATTATGTTCATCTGTGACTGAAAAGTTCTGGGTTAAGAGCAATAAAAAGGAAAATTGTTTTGAAATATAGATATTTATTTAAAATCATTATCAGGCTATAAACTCATTGATATATCAACAGATATAAATTGTATCAAGAGTTTTCTATTACGCTTAATATTAATGCCATCATTCATAATGACATTTCATTGGAATTAATTTTGTGTAGTGTGAGTTCTATTTCGGCTTTATTATCAACATACGTTCAATTTATATCTTTAAAAATAAAACATCTAGGATTGACAACTAATAATCAAAGCAATTATTTTGTGCATGACTAGAATTTATCAGCTTGTAAAACTTTTAAAGCTTTATTACTTTTCTATTATTTGATTATTTTTTGAGCGAGGGCTCTCTCCATTGATTAAGCATTACAATTGCCCAACATATAAAAAAGTGATAAATTGTTTTGCATAACATTTAAAAAAAGAATTTATTTTCTAAAACAAGGCAATAAAGCCACAAAGATGCCGAGTGTTAAAGAATATGAGAAAGAAACACTATTAAGGAGAGAGAACAATAAAAGAACAAGAATTAAGACAATATATAGCAATCGACATAGCATTTAAATTTTTGGAAGATCAAACTTGTTTGGGAAGCAAGAAGACAGAAAATGACTGCTTTGATTTTTATACATTTTATGTACAAGAAGATCATGTTTGTTTTTAGAAATTGTTTAAAAAAATATAAAATAAAATGAAACAAATGTAAAAGAATCCTAATGTTTATATTAGAGAAAGCATTGAATAGTTTCTTTTTTGGAAAGCACCACTTTGATGATAGTTTGCTTGACAGAATTAGTATAGTAAAAGCAAAACCAATATTTTATTTGATATGAATTTTAATGTATACCTGTATTAATTGAATTTAAACACTAAGTTAATTTTTACATTCAGAATCCAATTTAAAATTGACTAAACATTTTACAGAAAGCATAGAATTTTGAACAAATTTGAGTACAATTTGTACTGTCTTTATGATGGATAGGGAATTATTTTTCTCTGTAGAAAAACATTTTCTTCGGAAGAAAAAGCCTGAGTAACTAATGAGTTAAAAGAAAAAAATTCTCTAAAAACTCACAGCATCTGAGCCAAGTTCTGGTAACTGTGCTTTCTTTTGCAGTTCCATTTTAGCCGCATCAATGTTACTCAGACCCTCTTGAATGGTTGTAAGCAGAGCTCTCTGAGCTTTACTCAACACTACCTCATGAACGGTCTGAGTCTGAAAATAAAACAGTAAAATGAAAAACATTCTTTACTTGAATTCAGTGTCAAACAATTTAAAGAAGTGAAAAAAAAAACTCCAAGAAAAAAAAAAAAAAAAAAAAAAAAAAAAAAAAAGTTTCTGATGAATATGTAAATAACCTTCTTTTTGTTAATTAACAAAATGGAAACAGAAATTCGAAGATCCTGCACTAGGTTTTTTTTCTAATTTAATTGAGAATAGGTGAGGAAAAAAGTTGGCAGGTAAACAAATCTTTAGGATTAAGTCATGGAATCAAAATCCATTTTTAAACATTTCTGATAGATGTATTATGAAAATAAATTTTTTTTAAATGCCATATTGTTTCAGGAAGTTGGTTATCATGGCTCTCCATAGATACCTTTACTTACTGTATTTGCTTGTGTATAATACTAAGGTTATGACTTTTCTTATAACCCTCTGTTCATGTGTCATAAATCAATGAATTTTTGGTCCAAACTAATGAAAAAGTCAATTTCTTTTAGTTCTTGAAAAAGATCACCCCAAAACTGAAAATTCAATTTCACCATATATGCAATAAGGGTATTAAAAAAAAAAAATTTCACAAGCTTTATTGTTCAATTTGCTAATTATTTAATTGGATAGTACTTAAGTATTTTAATGCATTTAACAGTTTATAGGTATAGCATAACTTACAAATAAAAAAAAAAGTTCTAAGAAGTCATAGTACTACTATATTTATATAAGATTTAAAAAATTTAGTGCTGGAGGGGACATTTCTTTTTTTAAATAAACTGAATTAAACCCTTCTTCATTATTTTTTAACAAAAGTTCATTGAATTATGATACAGGATAAAAAGTCATAACCCTAGTATAATATGACCCATGTTTCTGAATTACTTCCTTATATTACTGTTCCATAGTACAGTGCAGTTTTTTTTTTTCCAGGAAAGTTGTACCATATTAATACATTAAATTCTCAATGTCATACATACTTCACTAAAATATTTAATTTTTCACAATATTAAAGAATAGAAATGATCTGGATGTTTAGCCACTGTATATTTGTTCTAATTGCTGCTTCAAAACTTATTTTTGAATTTTGTGGGAAAGGTGCTTTGCTGTAACATTAATGTTATCAAAACATGTCAAATCTTGTATATTACTTTTATTAAATTTTTTTAATTTTGGTGAATTTCCTGCCTTTAAGACAAAAGATTTTCAATTGATTCTCAAAGAACAAATATTGTCAATATATCAAATACCTTTTGTTAACAATTTTTTACCAACATCTGCCTGTGTTTTATTATCTATTGTGCCGAGTGTATTTGCAATTCTGCTGTTTCAAAGAGGTTTTTTAACCTGAATAAAAATTTCTGAAAACGTGTACTTCTGTATAAATACACCTCCACTTTTTGCTTTTAATTGTTGTTCAAAATTTCTCATATTGTGCATAAAAGAATATGGTAATTATCTGTGAATTACCATGCATTCTTATGAAATATAAAAGTGGTTTCATGTGGCCTTCGCCATGGTACAGAATTCAGAGTTTTCCTTCTTTTAGACTGATTGCCTCCCAAGATTTTTTTCTCCTTCTTTTAAACTGATTGCCACCTAGAGAGCCATGTTTTCTTTGCTATTTAACCCACAGTTAGGGGAAGAAGAGATGGATTCATGCCTTCCCCAAGGGCATTAGTGTGAAAGTAAATGCATGAGACTAGCCCAGAATTTGAATGCCACTTTCTATGTCAATATTTGCTATGCCACCCATACAGCTAATAGGAAAAATTTCAGTGCAATACAAAGACCAAGCCATTCCATTTTAAGGGTTTTACAAGAAAATTGTAGTATTTATTTTCTATATTCTTTCACAATTAATAAAAAGAATATATATATATTTTTCAAGTTTTGTCATGTAGAATATGTTAATCACTTAGAAAAAGACTTTTTTGTTATTCTTAATTTTATTATTTAATATGTGGGTGTAAAATTACATTAGGGCAACACACATATCTACAGTCACAAAACCTAAATGACGTGGCCTTAAAGAAGAAGTCCTGTAAAAGCTGAATATACTTGACACAAGTCAAACTTTGCTTTGATTCAATACTAAGAGTTAATAATGGAAGGAAGAACACTCCATCTGGCTTACCTGCATTGGTGCGTGCCCTGGATACGTGTGATTTGAAGTTTCCTCAAATGTGGCTTTCTGCAGTGAACCGACAGTGATAGGATCACCCATAACTTTCGGATCACGGATTATGGCAGGAATAGCCACAGTTCCCATATTAACCTGATCCATCTTGGGATCCAAATGTTTAATAATTACTGCTCTGAAAAGATAAGTAAAAGATTAACCATTAATTCCAAGCTGGAAAAGAAATTCCAAAGATAACAGTAAGAGGAAGAATAAGACTGGGTTGGGAGGGGGGAATTATGTGGTATTGATTTTTTCTTAAACTGAATTTTTGGAATAAGGAAGAATATTTTATTTAAGCAGGTTGAAGCAATTCTGTGGTGAGATACAAAAACCAACAGTCTACAAATTTCTAGAGAGACCATTGAAAGTAGAAGATAAAGCCCTGTACTATATAAAGTCTTTCACCTATCTTGGTAGCAAAGTCAACTACAGCGGAACTTTAGATGATGAAATCATGAATCGGATTGCTAAGGCTACCAGTGCTTTTGTCAAACTTCGCCATTGCTTGTGGAATGAGCGAGGTATTCAACTGGATACAAAAATTCGGGTTTACAGAGCTGTTGTCCTTGCTATCCTTTTGTATGGCTCAGTCTTAGACTCCATACAGGTACCATATATGCCAGCTGGATGTTTTCCATAAAAGCTGTTTGCGTGCAATCTGTGGAATTAACCTTCAAGATAGGACATCTAACGTAGACATGTTTAACAGGTGTAATATTGGAGGAATCAAGACTTTTCTCTTTTCAGTCTCAGTTACAGTTGACTGGCCATGTCTTGAGAATGTCTGATGACAGGATACCCAAGATCCTAATGTACAGCCAGTTAGATCAAGGCTACAAGAATGTAGGACACCCATGGCTAAGATACAAAGACAAGCTGAAGAGCAACTTGTCAGCTGTCAATATACCTCATAACACCCTTGAGTGCTTAGCCTTGGAGCAGGTAGAATGGAGATCAACATGTTTTAGTGGACTGAGCAATTTTCAATCAGATTGTCTGAATTGCCTTAAAGAAACGAGAGCAAGATCTAAAAGGTCAGCCAATCCAACAGTGATCTCATCTCACAATCTTTACTCCTGCTCCATATGCAGCTTCCTTTGTAAATCACTAGCGGTTCTTGTGCCACTTAAGATTATCACACAAAATTTCATAACTAAATCAATTAAGTTGTCACATCCTCATACATTGAAACTAACGGGACAGTCCATTATTTTATAAATGTTGAGTATCCTTTTATCTGTAGTTCTAAAAAACTCCAAAATCTGAAAGTTTTTCAGGTGCTGATTGATTTGCCACAAATGGAAAATTTCAGAAAGTCCAGCTACATAGCCTATGTTGGCACTAGTTTTTTTGTTAGCGATTGTCACAGCAACCCCTTCGTTTGTGGATTACTTACCAGGTGTTTTGTACTCACTAAAGATATTATTCAAAATATTTAAAAGTCCTGCATTTATATATTTTTGTAAGTAGTAATCATGCTTTTTGTGCACATACATAAAGTAAAAAACATTTTTATGTGAAATCTTAATTTCACCACTGAAAAATCTGTGAGCATTACATGACTAGTGTCATGACCTGTAACTGTATGTACACAAAATTTATTAAAAACTACTTTGAGGGTCTATATTATTTATATAAAACTGCCTTCAGGGTATATGTATAAGCTGTGTTATAAAATGTAAAGGTATATTGCATTTATATTTGGGTTCCATTTCCAAGTTGCCTCATTTTATAAATGCTATATACAAATTAAATAGGCTGTATTCCAAAATCCAAAAAAAAAATTGAAAACTGAAGAACTTTCAATCCCAAGAATTTTGGATAAAGGATTCTCAACCTGTATATATAATAATAATAATAATAATAATAATAATAATAATAGCTCATTATTTTAACTTTTCACACAATATACCTTGACAAAGATTTGAAGCCATTTTAGAAATGCATTAAATATTCTAACTATGAAGAAATCTAAGTAATATTTACATATGTTGAACTTGAAAATGAATAAAAATACAACGGATTTGGACAAGAATGTAATACGTACTGTGCTGGGGATACTCTGTCTTCATACATGGAAGATTCTTCATCTCCTTCAATTCCTAAATGGTCTTTAGCTTTTTTCTAAAAGAAAAAGAAATTAACCAAGGTATTATATATAAGCAGTTTCTACATGGTGAATTGGCTGTAGGAAAAATGAACAGAGCAGAGGTCAAAATTGAGGTATAGAGATTGCATCATGAACACATTGCAGAAGGCCAACATCAGGCAAAATGACTGGGAAAACCTAACTCCAGATTGTTCATCTTGGAAGAAAGCAGTGCACAATGTTAAGAGAGATTTTGAACTAAATTGTGTTAAGCATGAATGTGGTCGTATCTGCTTAAGATGGGCAGGCTCCAAAAATCATCAATGATGCCACAAGCTGAAATCATTCAAACTCACTCTGTGGCATTTCGATGTAGGGAGAATGTAAAAATGAATGTGCCTTAATTGGTAGACAAAAACAAGTTTAAAATACTAATCTAACAACTACATCAAAAGACGCCCAAAGTTGCCACATCTGTGCAAGGGAATGTAAGACCCTAGCAGGACTAAAAAGCCACATTGCACTGCCCATATTTGAGGATGGCTCGAAATGGAGTTGCAGCCATTATAAATATGCAGATATACTGATCTCTTCCATCTTATGCCATTTTTGTTTCACACTAAATAAATGCCTTCTGATACTGTAAGGGTCAGTTAAATTTCATATCAAATTTGACTTAAAATTAATGCTAAAAATATACACTTTATTTTTTACTGAAACTAGCAGAAGAATAGATACAGAATATGTTGTAGCATTTAGCACTAAATAAAAATGTGTAAGGTTTTTATCAAGTAAGGAATATAAATGTAAAACTATATAATAGTCACAGGACAGTGACAATATTTCTTTCTTTGACATAAATGAGAATAAGTAAATGAGTTTAGTCTAAAGTAAATAATTTTCTTTAAAGAAAAACAGCAGAAATCTATAGGAATCAAAATAGGCCCTTTTGGTATAAAGAAATCTATAGGAATCAAAATAGGCCCTTTTGGTATAAAGAAATCTATAGGAATCAAAATAGGCCCTTTTTGGTATATAGAAATCTATAGGAATCAAAATAGGCCCTTTTTGGTATATAGAAATCTATAGGGATCAAAATACACAAAAAGATGTGAAGCATTCTAAGACATAAATAAAAATCTTTCAAGAGTAAGCAGAGTGAATCAGATAAAACAGTGATCTTAATTTGTTTTTGCATTATGATGCCCTTAAGTGTATGAAGATTTCCTCAAGCTACCCTTTCAGAAAATACCGTTTATGAGATATATATCATTAATGTATATTTGGACAGCAACTTTTCTTTTAAACATCTTTCATTACATATGATGAACAAGGAAATTATTTTTTTATTTTTATTTAGTTTTTCCACTGTTCTTACATTTCTCCATTTGGTGAAACCAATGATACCAAAACAAAACTCCCTTGAAAATGGCTAAGGAAGTGTCTGAAAGCACTTGGGACAATGGATGGTATGGAAAGTTTTTGTACTCCCTCACTCCCACCAAACATAAAAATGCAAGAATGCTGGGAAAACTAAATAAAATAAAGTAATAAAAATTTCCTTGTCTGTCATATTTAATGAAATATATATATATATATATATATATATATATATATATATATACACACACACACACTGTAGTTACTATTAGCTATTAAAACTTTAGTATATTTCTCCAGCCCATGGTTGCTAAGTAGCATGCACACTTTGGAATTGCCAGATATAAAACATGATTGGTAATGACATGCATAAAGAGATTTACCTTTCTCATGATAATATCAATATATCCAGAGATGAGTTGTGAAATTTGTTCTCCTTCAGTAGTTTGTACAGAGTAATACTCATTTGAATAATCACCAAGATCCTAAAGGTGGGGTAAAAAAAAAAAAAAAAAAAAAAAAAAAAAAAAGAAGAAAAATTGTCAATATGAAAATGAAAAGTTAATCTCAGTCAATCCAATCTCAAACATTTGAAAGAAATTATCATGGTTTTGAATCAAATACTATCTTTAAAACCTGATCACTATAAAATTCCCCACAATACCAATTTTTCAATGATGCTGATCTCTTAAATAAAGCTGAAAAACAGTAAAACCACTAAAAATACACATACTTTTAACAGAAAATAATTCAAAATTCTTGGAAGATGAAAAAAATAATAATGACTATCACATAATTTACAGAATTATGTCAACTATGTTACAAATTCACTATTTTTTTCTTTGGGAATTATTGACTTATCTTCTCTTTGACTTATTACAATCTGTATTTTACTTTTGCATTTGTACTTGTGGTAATAAAATAAGCACATTACTATTATAAGTTGTGTATTTTCAAGTGTTTTCTGCTTTTTATGTAATGAAACCTTATGTTTTTACAATATTAAAAAGTCTACTAATGGCACCTGTGTTAATAAAATAAGCGCATCACATCTCCCTTCTTGCTTGTAAGCATCCATAAAAATAAAATAAATGTTTTTCAGCACTAAAAGTGAATAAGTCAAATAGAGCTTCATAAGCTTCTACTTAGAGTTATTATATTACAGTATTTAAAAATTTATTCACTGTAAATGTTTGGCTGCTGAAGAAATATCAGAATTTATTTTTTTTTTAACTTTTAATCAGATTAAATAATTCAAAAGAATTTAACAATATATAAAGAAAAATTACTTGAACAACAGAGTTACATAAAAAGCAAAATATCTTTACTCACCAACGTGAAACTGTTAGGGGAAGGAGCCCATCTTTTTAGCGCAGTCAGAGGCCAAGTCTTTAAAATCTAAAAAGAAATAAACAAGCACTAGAAGAGATTAAAAGAAATAAAAAAAGTAAAATAAATGGTTGTGGTTTGTAATTTAGCTCAAATCTTTCTAAATATAAGCAGGAAAAAAGCAATTGTATTTAGAGGAGGAAATAAAGCAGATTTGTGAACTGGTTGTTGAGATAAGTGTTTAGGTTTCTCATGAACATGTCTGGCACACTGACATCTTTAAGGGACACAGAGTACAAAGTATTATTTTATTTTTATTTAAATTTACCTTAGTAATTATAGACACCTGCTTTGAAGAGTTTAACAACATTCAGATAGTGTAAGCAGCCAAGGGCTACACAAATGGTCAATGTTAATGAGGGATTGTGTATGGAGGGGGAATACCAATAATTCAATGTAAATGACTGTTGAAATATTGATGAGAGTGTAACTGACAGTTGATAAGTCAAAAATGCAGGTGGGGGGGTCAGTAATCAATGGCCGCTAAATTAATGAAAGCGACAGTGTGAGGGAATTGATGATGAATAAATCAAGGGAAGAGGAGACTGACAGCCAATACATGAATGAGAATAGGATGTGAGGGGTGATAACTGATGGTCAATGCATCATTGACTGAGAGGTGAGGACCAATGACCACCATGCCAATAAGGGCAAGAAGGGAGAATGTACAGCAAATTAATGAGAGTGAGGAATGGGCAGGGGGGAGAGGAACAACCAAGAAATGAATACAAGCACACCCATTGATTTTATGACACCCTTGTGGCTAACGGAAGTCATGTAATAACAATTCAATTATATTACTCTGACTAATTAGTCATGTTAGAAACTTACACTGAACTATTACCAAATACAGTATCACCTGTGGCTGTTTAGTGAATTAGTCTGGTGATTGTATGAAGTTCAAATACTTGCTGCTAATTCCGCCTGGATTAAAAGAGGTACTGAACCCTCCCAATTGGCAGAAAGAAGACGATAGATACACCTTTGACTCGTTAATCATGCATTTCTCGTATCACTAAAGCATCATCCATTGTTAGAAACTTGTATTAAAATGTTATAAAATTTAAATTTTATATGAACTAAATGGTTGAATAAATCTGGCAATTGTGTGAAATAAAAATGTTTGCTTGTAACTTTATCTGGATTAAAAGGCATACCAGAATGTTCATTTTTGGAAAATTGAAGGTGAACCTGTACTAGTAGAAATTCCAAATAAGTTACACTTAATAAAATAAGCAACGGAGAGATAGGATTACTGCTGCAGAGAAATTAGAAGGCAAATATAAAGTAAATAAGGCAAGATTTCAAGTAAAAGAGTGTTTACAATATAATTATATTGATGAGCATTGTTTACCAGTTTTGTGGTTTATTCAACTTTTTAGGGAATGATTCTCTGGTAAGGCATTTAATAACTATTGTCACTAGGGTAACAGTTTACTATAATATCAGCCAGATTTCCCACAATTTACTAATTTTATCTGGATTAAAAGAGCTACTGAACCATCAGTTGCTGGAAAGAAGAGGATTGATTTTTTTTCATTTTTTTTTTATAACCTATCAACCCTTTGTGGGTTATTTAAAACTGAAACATTTTGTATTTTAAGGGTAATTCTTTTTGTGAGTGAATTTCGTATTGATACTTTTTGAGAATAATGATTTTTTTTCAGATATATGAACTACTATTTAATCCATACTCAGGGGAGATTCATACTTTTCTCAAAGGTATAAGTTAATGTAATGAACCTAACTAAAATTTAAACTGTGCTTTGATTTCTCATTCCAAGTTAGTATCCATTAAATCAAATGCACATCCCCGCTGCTGAAAAACCAGGTGTATACCACTATCTGTATTTGCAATAGTGTTCAAATTCTAGTTGAAAACCAACTGAATAGATAGAGCAAATAGAAAACAATAACAATAGGGAAACAATCATGGCAAAAATGTATATTGTGAATGCTCCTCACTCTTGATGAAGTAGCACAGACTAAGCATTTCAGTTTATAGCTATAGCATAACATACAACTTTACAAATAAATAAAAATTGCAAACATGCAGAAGCTGTATATTTCAATTTGTTAATGATGTAATTGAACAACACTCATGTATTTTTTTAAACGCATTTTACAGAAAGAAAATTAAGATGCAAGATAACATCATAGATTTGAATATGATAACAATGGTAAAAGAAAGAAACAGTAACAATTGTAGATCATTAAGAATTCCTATTGAACAGTAATCATGGAGGAAGTGACCAGAGATGGACAAAGATGAAACTAAACAATAATGTAAGTAATAAAGCTGAAATCAGCCTCATTTTGTATTATGTGTAGATTAGGATAGCAAAAGATGAACAAGAAGAGAAGGCAAATAAGTGGGAATCATATTATAACAATTGATGATCATTTAGCTTTTGATTTCAAGTAAGAAGACTGTTTTTTTTTTTTTTTTGTACCTCTTTTGTTTTTTCATCCATCCTCACAACACTGTCCTTTGTAATACCAAGTAACCGGGGAACAAGTTTGTTCTTCCCTTTCATTTTTTCCTGGCAAAAAAAAAAAATATATATATATATATATATATATATAAAAACACACAAAAACACCATATTATATAATTAATTTATGAATATAAAACACTTAAAATACTATAGGTAATAATTTTTATTTTATGAAAGCTATAAAAAATAGCCTTCAAACCAAATACAACACATACACATTATATATATATATATATATATATATATAAAATCCAGTTAATTTTTTTTCATTTAAAGTATTTGCTTATTTAACAGCATATCAACTACCTATGGGTCATTTAATGCTAAAATTTAATTTTCTTGGGAGCTTTGAAATAATAAAAATATGATATATGTTATTCTGCTTTCATAATTCAATACATGGTAAATGATACCCAGCTTTTGTGCATATACAAATTTGTGTGGACCTGTTTACTATAGGTGGTGATATGTGTGTGTTTTATGTTGTAGTTTTTTCTTAAGTTATATTTTGGAATACAGTTTGATTTCTTTATCAAATTGTACGATATTATATGGATTAACGTCATGAAAGAGTTTATTCATGTTGGTTGATTTTGTTTAGTGGTATATCAACCTCTAAGTTATTTAATACCAAAATCTAAATATTTTAAACACAATTGTATGACTTCAACTAGAGATAAAATGTATTGCTGGTAATTCTACTATAAATAGGTATTGTTGGTATTTATATGAAAATGTACTGCTGGTATTTTTACTATTTAAATGTATTTTTATACTTTTATAGTGCTTTGTTTTTGTTTGGGCATTCACTATTTGGCCCTAGCTCAGACCCTAATAGGTGCTGTGAACATGGGAACGACAGCAATTAAGAGGTGGTTCCACACTTCTCAAAACCTCCAATATCCAGATCAGAGGCCTTACTGCCAGATGTAGTTTATCATCGTACCCAGGACTATAATTCAAGTGAACTGTATATTAATATGAAAAAGGAAAAAACAACTGTCAAGTCTATTATTCGATGAAATAAAAGAGTTTGATATCTTTTATGAAATATGCCTTCATCATATAAATTGACAGAAAATCAGATTTTGCAACATTCTCTTTCGCACACACATATGCACAAAAAAAGAAAAAGAAACTTATATTCTAGCTAACTGAAATAAAAATCTTCAAAAAATATTTTTCTTCATCAAATATTTTAATGTAATTGTATTAACTAACATTATATTGAGCATTAATTGATTCAAGCAAACAACCAAATAAAGTTATATTTAGTAACTTATTAAGATACAAAAATATTTAATAATTTGTAATATTAAAAAAATATGTAATATTCAATTTACTTTGTTATTAAATAAAATTAAAAACCAATAAGAAAAGAAGAAAAGTTTTGCTTACTTTAACTAAGAAAAAGGTGATTCCATAAGTTTTGAGTGATCGGCAAAGTTGAGTGTATTTAACCTTAGCTTGAACATCAGACATATCTGCACAGGCTTTATGTTCCTGAAGAAGCAACAAGTCAAAATTTAAAATCATTTGAACTCCTGTTTCATCAATGAAACAAAATTTTAGTGACTTAAAAAAATCTGTAAATAAGA